CATCAACCAGTAGCAGTGGCAGATAAAATGTCTTTTTTTCTTTTTTTCCATCTTCAACTCTGAGAAAATAAAATGAAAGTGAAACAAAAAGTGTTGGAAGTCTAGATAAGATATTAGACACGGATTATCTATGTTTCAGAAAATGACTCACATTTTCATATAGCGGCGAAGGTCGCTGGGCACCGTGGCACTGTTGAAGGTGAAATCCTCATTCATTACATTCAAGGTAAGCCGGGATCTCCAGTAAGAAACAATCTGCTGCTCTTCTGGTGCCTTTACACAGGAAAATATCCACATTTATTCGCATCTATCTCAATGCATTTGCATGAGCTGATTTGGAGTAGAGAACATTTTCATTTAATATGTTCATGGAGTGATGATGAAGTAAGGTAATATTACTATGTTGTACAAATAAGTGATTTAAAGCTTTTAGATGATGCTCTTATCCAGGGCAACTTAAAAAAATGCTTTAGTTTTAATCAAAAATAGCACGGTCAACATCTCCTGAAAAAGATATGCTAACCAAATCTACCCTTGTGAAAAATAAGTGCACTTGATGTACTGAAAGTGCAGTTTTAGTGTACTTCAAATCATAAAATATAGATATAAAATATAAGTACACTTTCATGACAATGTTTCCTAACGCACTTATGTTTACTTTTAAAAAATGCACTTTGTAATAAGTTTTAATTTACAGTAAATTTGAAATCATTATGTTTTATTAAAATTTTGTTTGATATGCGTGAAAGAATTACACTTTTTGGTGTGCTGACATACTAAAGCAAAGTACTTGCTTTTAATTAAACTGTGTCTTATTCACTATTATATGGAGCCCCGCACATGGCATGCAGGAAAAAAAATAGCAGGCTAAATCGTGTGCACGATTTACTATTTCGTTCCCTCGATTTATAAATTGTGCGCACGATTTACTAATTCGTTCCCTCGATTTATAAATTATGCGCACCATTTACTATTTCGTTCCCTCGATTTATAAATTGTGCGCACGATTTACTAATTCGTTCCCTCGATTTATAAATTGTGCGCACGATTTACTAATTAATTCCTTCGATTTATAAATTGTGCACACGATTTACTAATTAATTCCTTCGATTTATAAATTGTGCGCACGATTTACTAATTTGTTCCCTCGATTTGCTAAATCGTGCACACGATTTATAAATCGAGAGAATGAATTAGTAAATTGTGCACATGATTAACAAATCGAGGAAACAATTAGCAAATCAAGGGAATGAAATTGTAATCGTGTGCACGTTTTAGTACATCGAGGGAACGAATTAGTAAATCGTGTGCACGATTTATTTATTTTTTCTTGCATGTCATGAGCGTGGCTCCGTACTATTACCTTTAAAGGGGTCATATGATGCTGCTAAAAAGAATATTATTTTGTGTATTTGGTGTAATGAAATGTGTTTATGCGGTTTAAAGTTAAAAAAACACATTATTTTCCACATACTGTACATTATTGTTTCTCCTCTATGCCCCGCCTTTTTGAAACGCGTCGATTTTTACAAAGCTCATCGGTCTGAAAAAGCGAGGTGTGCTCTGATTGGCCAGCTATCCAGTGCGTTGTGATTAGACATTCAATGCTATCTGAGGAAGATAGTCACATACTACAAAACTGGTCAAAACCACATTAAAGATGCTTTTCATATTAAAACCCATTAATTAAAATTTAATCACAACAAAGTATACTAGATGAATTAGACATTCAATGCTATCTGAGGAAGATATTCACATACTACAAAACTGGTCAAAACCACATTAAAGATGCTTTTCAATTTCGTCAGTTTTCACCAGGTGGTTCTGAGCCACAAATACTTAAGCACGTAAATATAGCCTATGTAATATATTTAAATGTACTGAAATTACAACTTCATCATTACAAATGTGTAAGTGTGCAAATACTGTATATTTAAATCCAAGTTTCAATTGAAATGGCATTAAAGTACATTTTATTTTACCATAAATGCTTGTCAGTACATACTTTAATGAGACATAAAAAAATTCAAAAAATTATGAAATTTAAGTATAAAGATGTACTTATTTTCTTGAATGCCCCAAATGTTGTTCCAACGAGTCAAAAACAGTAGTCTGAACAAAGAATTTCATATTCCTTAAATGTTAATTTCTTTGCTTTGAAAGGATGATTGTTATCCTCTTTACAAACACAGCATGGCTCACTTAAAGGGGTCATATGATGCGATTTCAAAGGAGGGGGCTTTGTTGAAAATGACACGTTTGAGAGAGGCGGGGCATAGAGGACCTACAATAATTTACAGTATTTGAAAAATGTGTTTTTTTAACATTAAAGCATGTCAACATATTCTGTTACACCAAATAATGATCTTTAAAATAGCATCATATGACCCCTTTAAAGGCACAATATGTAATTTTCGCCGCTAGATGGTGAGTATTCAAAATAAACAAATAGGAATCATGGGAGTTGTAGTCTTCATCCCCACAGCCGATGCAATCCGACGGGACTCGGGCAGAAATCATGTTCATGGATGAGCTAATGATTTATTAACGTAGTAGAATGAAGCAGGGTGAGGCTGAAAGCCGTCGAAGCGAAACGAGGCCGCTGAACGAGCGTGACACACGGCTCGAAAGCAGCGGAGCTTTTATTACGCCACAGTCGACTGCTTCCGCTCCTTCCGGTCGTGCGTATGTGGAAAAAAAAAAAGCAGCGCTGTTTTATCATACTAGATACATTTGAAAGTTCTGTTATAATGCTACTCTGTGCGGTCGTCACCGGTCTATTAAAACACACAACATATTAAAGCGTCTTTGGTGTTTCCATGTTTTCGAGGAAATCGTATGACGTATTTGGCAGGCGACACAATGACACTATAGACACGGTCCGTGTCACTAGTTAAAATTGCTTATTTCGCTGGATTTAAACATTCTTTGAAACATTTGGGATAATGTACGAGGAAATTGTATGACGTATTTGGCAGGCGACACAATAGACACGGTCCGTGTCACTAGTTAAAATTGCTTATTTCTCTGGATTTAAACATTCTTCGAAACATTTGGGACAATGTAAGTACACAAGTCAGCAAAATATATAACACTGTTATAGTGGTTTTTGGATATTTTATTAAAAAAAACTTACATATTGTTCCTTTAACATATTAAGTGTCCTATGACTATATAGTATGACTAGGCTATCATATCAAGAAATTCATTTATTGAGTTAATAAAAAAAAGTTTACTGAAATCTTTTGTTTTCTTCATGAATATATTGGCTGAACGAGGCATTTTGCATTTAGTGAACAAACAAATTAAAATCGACAAAACATTAGTTTTACTTAGTACAATTTTTTAAACATGAGTTGAGAGAACTTAAAGGGATAGTTCACCTAAAAATGAAAATTCTGTCATCATTTACTCGCCCTCATGTCGTTCCAAACCTGTATGAGTTGCTTTCTTATGTTGAACACAAAAGAAGATATTTTGAAGATTGCTGGTAATCAAACAGTTGGTGGTTGCCATTGACTTCATAGTAGGAAAAAAATATTATGGAAGTCAATGGCAACCATGCACCAACTGTTTGATTACCAGCAATCTTCAAAATATCTTCTTTTTTGAGACCCATTTTTGGGTTTAGAATAACACGACGGGAACATCTTAACGCCACGCCAAGTTCGTTTTTGTAAGTGGACAAACACAGAGCAAAAGCTTTTAGCGTTACCCCGAGCTGGCAAGCACAGCATCACTTGCCTCATTCATTCATTCATTCATTCATTGTGCGCTCGCGGATGGGAAATGATGCAGTGCCTTTATTCCAGGCGCCGTAAAAGCATCGGTGCAGCAGCGAGTTGATGTTTCAGTGAATGACAGGAGGCCTAAAACCTTCAGGGCACAAAGACTGGAGCGGAGACATTAATTTACATATAATTTCTCAAATATGCAACCGTAAAACCAGATGTACAAGCCGCATCTCAGAATACAAGATCTGTGGGCAGGTTTGAGTGGGATGTAGACGGAGAGCGCCACCCTGCGGCCGCAATGACAATCTGCGCTTGAGAGATTTTATGCTCAAGAGCACAGTGGTAGTAACATATAACATTCTTGAGTCTGTTGTAGGAACCTTTCATTTTTTTATGATGACAAAGTGTTATACTTTGTTAACTATTGTAATGCTATTAGCTTTTGTGATGTCTGTATGTCCCCCCTCTTCTTTTCTTTTTTTCCCTTAATGTCAATTATTGTTGTGTTATTTTATGATAGATAGACAGACAGACAGACAGACAGACAAAGAGATAGATAGATAGATAGATAGATAGATAGATAGATAGACAGACAGACAGATAGACAGAGACAGACAGACAGACA